CAAACATATATTTCTTCCTAACCTTGCATGGTGATTGTTCCATCTTCCAGGAGCATAGTTTACGTTGCCTTTTAGCTGCATGGGATAGCATTCCTTTGCATTTCCCCAGGGTTGCTATAGATCCAGCAGCACCCTGGAAGTTAAACAGTATCAGAGTCTGGAAAGTCAGGCTGCAGGCTCGCTGCAGTTATTGGTTTAGAAAGTATCTCTTTGGGTTTGGAGTCCGCCCTTTTTCCTGGGGTTGAGATCTCAATTTTTTAATCTCCCCTGCCTCCTTCAGTAGAGAAAAAGGCTCAGATGTGCTGTTGGTCAGACAGGCAAAGCTCTGAAAAATCATTGTGAGTACAATTGAGAAATTGAGATAGATAGATAGAAAAGCAATTGAGTAATTGAGAAATTGAGATAGATAGAATAGCAATTTGAGATACTGAGATAGATAGAGAGAGAGAGAGAGATAGAATAGGAATTAAGAAAAGCAATTAAGAAATTGAGTTATAGATAGAAATTGAGTTATTGAGAAATAGAAAGAAATAGTAATTGAGTACTATTGAGCATTACTTCATCTTCAAAGCTAACCTGGAGCTTAGATAGAGGAAGACCTGTTCTTTCTAACCATAGCTGCTCAGGGTTAGGGTGAAAGATCCCAGGATTTTTTCTACCCTTTGGAGAAAAGTTACCTCAGTAATTGAAAGAAAGGGAAAGAAAGAACATCTCTATGGCTTCCCAAATTGACTGTTTGTGTTGTAACTTTATCAAGTTGTGCCAAGTTTGCCAAGGACTTTGGAAATAAATATTTTGTTGATGTTCATATCTTGACTGGCATCAGTTGCTTAAAGTATTGAGTTATTGCTTCAAAGAAAGACCCCCAGCAGTTCACCCAGATAATTTATTTTATTTATTTCGTATACTTCTACCCCGCCCTTCTCAACCCCCGAGGGGGGACTCAGGGCGGCTTACAAAAAGGCACATTTTGGTGCCTGCACAAATACAATAACATATAAAACCAGAAATTAAATGGTCAACAATTAAAAACAATTAAAAACAATTAAAACAACAATATATCACACAATCAATAGCCAATCTCAGACACAGCGTTCGCCACTCAGAGTTCATATTTCATTCCACCTTGTCCAGTTCCTATCCATCGTCACAGTCCCTTATTCATCTGCCAGATTGCCCAAACGCCTGGTCCCACATCCATGTTTTTAATTTCTTTCTGAAGGAAAGGAGGGATGTTGCTGATCTGATCTCCCCGGGGAGTGAATTCCATAGGTGAGGGGCCACCACTGAGAAGGCCCTGCTCCTCGTCCCCGCCAATCTCACTTGTGACAGAGGCGGGGTCGAGAGCAGGGCCTCCCCAGAGGATCTCAGACTCCAAGATGGGACGTAAAGAGATATGCATTCGGACAGATACTCTGGGCCGGAACCGTATAGGGTTTTGTAGGTCAAAACCAGCACTTTGAATTGTGCTCGGAACTGGATCGGCAGCCAGTGGAGCTGATATAACAGGGGGGTGGTATGCTCCCTGTATAACGCTCCAGTGAGCAATCTGGCTGCCTCCCGCTGGACTAATTGAAGTTTCCGAACAGTCTTCAAAGGCAACCCCACGTAGAGTGCGTTGCAGTAATCTATCCGGGATGTAACAAGAGCGTGGACCACCGTGGCCAGATCTGACTTCCCAAGGTACGGGCGCAGCTGGTGCACAAGTTTTAATTGTGCAAAAGCTCTCCCGGCCACCGCCGAGACCTGGGGTTCCAGGCTCAGCGATGAGTCCAGGATCACTCCCAAGCTGCGAACCTGCGTCTTCAGGGGGAGTGTAACCCCATCTAACACAGGCTGTAACCCTATGCCTGTTCGGCCTTACGACTGACCAGTAGGACCTCTGTCTTGTCTGGATTCAGTTTCAATTTGTTAGCTCTCATCCAGTCCGACACAGCAGCCAAGCACCGGTTCAAGGTCTGGACAGCCTCCTTGGTGACAGGTGAGAAGGAGTGACAGATTTGGACATCATCTGCATAGAGATAACATCTCATTCCGAAACTCCGAATGATCTCCCCCAGCGGCTTCATGTAGATGTTAAATAACATCGGGGACAGAATTGAACCCTGTGGGACTCCACACAACAACGGTTGTGGGGCCGAACAGGTGTCACCCAATAACACCTTCTGGGACCGTCCCTCAAGGAAGGATCGGAGCCACTGCAAGCAGTGCCCCCGAGCCCCATGTCTAAGAGGCGTCTCAGAAGGATACCGTGATCGATGGTATTGAAGGCCGCTGAGAGGTCCAGCAGAACTAACAGGGTCACACTCCCCCTGTCCAGCTCCCGGCGAAGATCATCTACCAAGGCGACCAAGGCTGTCTCAGTACCATGTCCCGGCCTAAAGCCAGACTGTGCCGGATCTAGATAATCAGTGTCTACCAGAAACCCCTGGAGTTGTGTTGCCACCACACGTTCCATGACTTTGCCCAAATAGGGGAGATTGGAAACTGGCCGATAGTTGTCTAATTGAGTGGGATCCAGTGATGGTTTCTTCAACAGCGGTTTTATAATAGCTTGTTTTAAGCTCGCTGGAAACTTTCCCTCCTGTAAGGAGGCGTTACCCACCACCTTCACCCACTCTGCCAAACCCCCTCTGGCTTCCTTTATCAGCCAGGATAAAGAGAGAAGCACATCTAAGTTTTAACGTTACAGCGTCTGGGTGCGATGGCACAGTGATGATTCCTATCTGTATCTTATCTGCAATTTTCCTGCTTCTTGGCATGGAGTTGGACTGGATGGCCCACAAGTCTCTTCCAACTCAGAGATTCTATAATTCTATTATTCTATGTATCAATCCAACTCCCCAAACTGTTTACTCTTTGCCTTCCTGACACCTTTCTTTCTCTACATCTGATCAAGGTTTGGGGCAAAAAAATCCACCCGCTTTCCTGCCAAACAGACTAAGCTTTGAATTGCTTCTAAACAGTTAGAGAGCTCCAGCTCCCTGAGTGGTATAGATTGCCAGGAGAATTGCTGGCTGCTTTGAGATGCTCTGACAGAACTGTGTGAGGAAAATCTGTAAAGAGCTGTTCATAGCCATGCCCTTGGCTCCACACCGCTTTCATGAGCTGGATGGTGTGCATGCCGATGTTTTAACAATCATGCAGCAGTTACTCAGAAAGGAAACTGAGTCCTGTCTGTCTGGAGAGGAACCCAGTGTCATGCAGTAATAGGGAAAAGTGGGTGATTGCTTCTTGTACATCTTTCTTCCAAAGATAAAGAGAAAGTTCACAGTAAGCACTGCATTTTGGCTCAGCAGAATTCTGAACCTGTCCATAGATAGTGGTTAAGTGGCTGTGAAGGAAGATAAGGTGCTAAAATGAAAATGAAAATGCAAGTAGAACAGGCAAAAGTCCAGAGAATAGGAAGCACAAAGGGTGGAGGAGCCAGATTGCAAGAGATTACTTACAAGAAGATAATGTGCCTTACTGAGTGGAAATGGCTTTGGCATGTTGTACTATAGTATGGAATATATGATACACTTTAGGACAAAAGGCAGTGATAAGCACTATAACAAAGAGAGGTTCTGTCAAAATCTCTCTCTGAACAGAGGTGAGGTGGATTTGTTGGTCTTTTCCTGCAGCACGCTGGATTAGACATGTTGTAATATGGCCAACACACACTAGCCCCTTTAGATATTGTAATTCCACATACTGGATGGATGGATCTGGTTTAAAGGGCCCCTGAGCTGCTTCGATGCAATTCGTGACCATCGCCAGAGCAAACTAGCCATCCCTACAGCCTGCTGGCTCGAGGGTTCGTCAGGATTGCCGCCACCACTTTGTCGCTGCCAGCAAGTAGATCCCCCTTAAAGGCTTTCTGCCAACATTTCATTTCTTGTTACATGGATTAGCACTAAAAATTACATCACCAGATATGTGACATTGCCAGCAAACCTCAGTGAGGTAGTGGAGGGCTTGCTGGGGGGTGTGGCCAGGGGATCAGGCCTGATCCCACACCTCCAACACTGCAGGATCACTGCTCCTAAGAGTAAAGCCTATGTTCCGTTGAGGCGAATTAAAGAAAATCCAGCCCTGTATCATATAGACTCCACATAGCAGCTGAACAGTGAGCCCTTTTTTATTTTGACCATACTGAAATCATGAAAAATAGGAGTGTAGTTCTCTCCCAGCCATACAGCTTTGCTACTGTTTCTTTCATCTCTTCAGAGTGGCTTTTAAAGGCAAATACTCCTGACTTTCCCCTTGGGAAAATTGCCCTCTGTGTACATAGGACTGTAGAAATGACTACAGAGGGGAAGAATTGGTGTGTGTTGGGGGGGGGGGGGGGCTATTTGAATAGAAAAAATGGCTAACCAATATACATCATGGCTCATTGTGTATTAGGCAGAAAATGAATAAACAAATCTTCACATTGAGTCAACTCTAAGGCTGCTGTTGAATTTTGTCATATATCGAACTTAAAGATTGGGGGCGAAGGGTATTAAATTTTTTACAGACATCTCATTCTTGTGTTCCATTTCCAACCCTCTTTTCTTCAATTGCCTTCATTTATCTAAAAATAATTTTGAAAACAGGTATAATTTACCAATAATCTTATATATATATATATATACATGCACACACACACACATATGGATAGAGCCCCCGGTGGTGCAGCGGGTTAGATTGCTGAGCTGCTAAACTTGCTAACTGAAAGGTCAGAGGTTCAAATCCGGTGAGCAGGGTGAGTCCCGCTGTTAGTCCCAGCTTCTGCCAACCTACGTTTGAAAACATGCAAATGTGACTCGATCAATAGGTATCACTTCTGGGGGACGGTAACGGCGCTCCATACAGTCATGCTGGCCACATGACCTCGGAGGCATCTACAGACAATGCCAGCTCTTCAGCCTAGAAATGGAGGTGAGCATCACTCCCAGAGTCAGACATGGCTAGACTTCATGTCAAGGGGAAATCTTTACCTTTAAAGATATATATACATCTGAAAAAATGTGTTTTACCTTATGCTGCTGTTCCTGTGACACCATAATGCAGATTATCCTCCATCTGCTTCATATGTCCTGAGAGCATGTGTTGCCATGCTGTATTGTGTGCAGTTATTCTCAAAGCACCTTCAAATAGCCTGTATAGAAAGGTAGAGTAGAAGCATATTTAAACAAGTAAATCATGAGGGATTTGGTGTTCCTGGATTTATTGGAAAAATGTATATATTTTGTGACAATCACTCTACCTACTTTTGAGCACCAATAAAATGCATTTATTTCCCCAGATTTGGCTATATGAAATGAAGAATCCTTTTAAAGATCAGCTTCTCATATGCTTTTTAAGTGCTGGTTATCATCTACTTAACTTCCTGCAGGTATTTTTGCTTCCTATATATCAGGTGTGGGAATAAGATGGTCCTCTCAATGTTGTGGTACTATAACTCCCCACATCGCAGTAATAGTCAGAGTTGCTGGAACTTCAGACACATCAACATCTAGATGGGCTGAGATAGACCTACCCCTAATAATATGTTTAGCCATCAAAGTTTTTAGGGAAACTAGAAGATCAGAAGAGATTAAAGAATATATACCTCTTATTTATGTATAATTGTCTGTCTAGTTATGTATAAAACGGCATTGGATGTTTGCTACATATGTATGTTCTGTGAGCCACCCTGAGTCCTCTTTGGGGTGAAAAGTGTGGAATATAAATACTGCAAATAAAAGATAAACCTCTGGAATAAGCAAAATAACATGTAAAGTGTAAATCAACTGTAGGAAATCCCTAGCCTATGAGCAAACTGACCTCCACATCATAAAATGAATTTCAACCCTTTCTCATTGCTCCATCAGTATATTATAGCCAACATTTCTAGTCCATTTTATCACATAATCCTTCAGTTTTTCCTCTTGCATCTGAAATGTTAATAAAAGTTTATACATTTTACCAATTACCTGTTCATTTGTACATAATTGGGCTTCAACCTCAGATTTACTCCATTCAAATGCATAATTTTTATCTAGTTTAAATCATTCAAACAACTGTAAGAGAACCATTGAAATTCATAACCTTCCTCCAGAAGCTGTTCTTTCATTTTCATATTATATTCTCCTTGATAATACACTGACATATATCTTGGTACCCTAACCATTTCTTTTCCAGTTGCTTCTTTTCAATAAAAGGCTTCTTGTGCTGAGACTCATAATGGTATTTTCTGGTATAGACTGGGTTTCAATCAGGTCCATATTCTCAGTGGGGACCAGGAGGAGGAGGACCCCCCCCCCATCTCCCCGAAGGGACTCAGTGTGGATTCGAACAAATAAAAAAGGCAACCATTCAATGCCTTTTAATAATTATTATTTAAAATGTGCATCAATTTAATTCTTTCATATCATAAGTATCTGTGCCTTCCAAATTCAGGTCAGAAACTTGTAATTTTCAGAATCTTTTATAGGAGCCCCCAGTGGCGCAGTGGGTTAAGCCCTTGTGTCGATAGAACTGCTGACCAAAAGATCAGTGGTTCAAATTTGGGGAGTGGGGTGAGCTCCCATTTGTCAGCTTCAGCTTCCCATGCAGGGACATGAGAGAAGGCTCCCACAGGATGGTAAAACATCCAGGCATCCCCTGGGCAACATCCTTGCAGATGGCCAATTCTCTAACACCAGAAGCGACTTGCAGTTTCTCAAGTCGCTCCTGACACACAAAAAAATCATTCCTCAGCAATATCAATTTCTTCAACCACACTAAACAACAAGCAGCAAAGCATACATTTGCTGGGGGTTAGGGGCACAGGAACCTTCTAAAAGTGAAAAAGTGAATATTTTTTTAAATCTGAGAGAACACCTCTCTGGGAATTTCTAGATCTCCCTGCACAACTCTTTGATCATCTTCCACTTGAACTGGAGACCATTATTGATCAAATCTATGGAAAAACAAATCCACAGAAATCGAATCTGCAAATCTGGAGGTCTGTCTGTAATTTCAAGTTAGGTAAACCTAGGTTTCCTCATTGTTTCACATCCTTTGAGTGCAAACTTCTTTTGCAGTTTGAACAGGGTTTTTTTTTTCTAAATAGTATTTTGTGTTTTACCCTTTTAATATATACATCTGTATTCTAGCTTTTAGTCATTTTAATGTATAATACTTTTATGAGAATGTAACCCTCTCTCTTTGTGCTGCTCTATGACCGTAATAAAAATTTGTTTGTTTGTAATTTGAGCTTGACTTTCAGAAAATTCTGAGGACAAAGAGGGAAAGTGGGAGGAGAGAAAAACTGGGACACTTGAAAAGCATCCATTTGAATACTGGGATAGTGGGATGATAGCAGTTCAGTCAGAGAACTGTCCTCAAATTGAGATGGTAGATGAATCTAATTATGCCTTGTTGTGAGCCACCCAGAATCCCCTTCAGGGTGAGAAGGGCAGGATATAAATGCAGTATATAAATAAATAGGTGGATATACTACAATTGTGGAAGTACATAGGACTCATCTATGGGGGAAAGTTGTGCTGTTTATTTCTGGCCTAGTGCTCAAAAATTGATGTAAGACAGGAGGCTCTAATACACAATCAGGGTGAGTCAGGTCATTTGGGAATCTGAGTATCTGCCTTTGAAATTCATAGATATACCTCATGCAAGAGCTACACTCATCTGTGCCTCAAGAGTTCAGTAGTGGCTTGAACTGAATCAATGTGAGAATCAATCAGGGTCCTTAGGGCCAAGTAGGGTTCATTCCAGGCTGCAGGAGAATGGGTGCTATTTGAGAGTGCTTCCCTCATGGGAAAAAAGCAAACAAACAAACCTATAATCTCTTCCATGCAAGTAGAAAACTAACACTTCAGGGAGAATGTTTGTAGCCCAGTCTTCTCTTGATTATATTATGGACAAAATTGCATGTCACATGCAAATATGCCTCACAAAACAACAGCAGGTACCTTTCATAGAAAGAAAGAAAGAAAGAAAGAAAGAAAGAAAGAAAGACAGAAAGAAAGACAGACAGACAGACAGAAAGGCAAAACAAACTGGAGAAGTGATTAAAAAAATAGAATCACTATGCTTTTTCTTGATGGGTATTTCTCCAGCTCAAATGAATCTCCAGCAGTCTTCCAAAAATGTATTCATCCTCAAACATTTGCCTTCTTCACTTTTGATGTGGAAAGCACCTAAAGTAACTTGAATTAGGAAAACAGCCAATATAATAATGCTTAAAATTTCTCTGTCCTGACACTTCTCCACTGGAAAGAACTCATATCTCATATATATGATTGTGAACATTTGAGTAGACAAGCTCTTAGTGCCTCTTTGTAGGATGTACATCTCGTGAGTGTGTTTTAAAGAGGGGAAGATCAAAAAATACTACGGTATGCCCTTACTTTGCACTTCAGTATTTTGTAACTTCATTCTGGTGCATGAGTCCCAGGTAAAAGGTCTTTTATAGCATAGGGGCGGAATTGTCTATCCTCCATACACCAGCTCTGCAACTCATAAAAGCAGAGTTAAGTTTTTTTGCAGAAAACAGCAAGTATCGACAAGCAGAGATGTTAAAATAGCACACTTGGTGTTAGAAAGTGCTGCCGAGGAATGAATTAAATGTAACTGCAGTTCACTAGGCACTTCTCATTCTTTCTCCTCCACAGGGGCCTCTATCAGTAATTGGTGCGGCTCTCAATGGGTTTGGCCACCTGTGGTGCGGACGAGGTGGAAGCTGTACACATTGTGGAATGTTAAAAATGGGAATATGTGCAAGATGCCATATTTGCTGCACAATCCATTACTGGGTCCCAGGGAAGGAAGCACAGATACAGCTGCATTTCTGGGAACGGAATAATACTATTAGGTAACAGCTGGCTGGGTTTTAGCAGTCCTCCCTAATTAAATGTTTAGCCATCAGAGTTTTCAAGGAAACTAGAACAACAAAGTAGACTTAACCTCTGGAATAAGCAAGAAACCATGTAAAGTGCTAAGATATCTAAATATAATTTACTCATGTACAATACCATTATCCATCCCCCATTTCCTCTTCCAAGGCAAAATACAGGCCCACTTACTGGCCCACTTACTGATTAAATCACTCTTGGTTTTGAATAGTTCTTTGCATTGTTTGTGACAAAGACTTAAGTTGTAATAGGATTCTAATACAAAGCTTAAACATTTTACTTTTTCTGTATGGTTCCCAAGATCTTGAAAACCGATCTCCAGTGCACTATTTAAGAGGTTTAACAACATCATCACATGGGGCTGTTTTCGGCAGCAATGCCAGTTTCTCAGCGGTTTTGCAACAGAGCCCACCGGCTCCCATCCCACGATGTAGAACTACTTCCAGTGGGGCTTCCCACATTGTATTGGATCAACAAGGGGAAGCTGGGCGATGGCCACTTCCCCCCATGGGGAAGTGGTCACAGGAAGCCAGGTGATGCAGGACCTGGGGCGAAGGGTTCCTCACAACCTATGCTGGACACTGCTGGATTTGCCATGACCCGTGGATATTTTGGTGCCATATCTGATGAGGTTGTTAGAGATGTCAACCCCTTTCAGGATAAGCTGACTGGACCTTACTCTTTAGTACCTTTATCCAGCCAACCAGTTTTAAAGGACTTTTAAATCTCTGTTTGATCTTCCTTTTTGTCCTTCTTTGCATGGTGATTATTATGCCCTTCATTACTTTCTGATTCCAGAAACAATACAACACTTGTTTCTGACAGATCTGCTTTCATTCTGTGTTCCTACATGCCAGAAGGTTAGACTAAATAATTCTTGTGGTTTCTTTCAACTCTATGATTTTATCCCTGAATTTCTTGGGTGAATGGATCTCAGTGGGTCTCCATTATACTTGAAGGTTGAGGAGATTTGCTGCTGCCCTCCAGTAGTCAAAGGGCAATGCCACGCCCCCTAAAGAGGCACCTGTGGTTTCACTTCTGTCCGATCCAGTCTGGTTTCTGGCAGACTTGCAGGGGCATATTTTCTTCCTCAATTCTTTAAAGACTCATACTTTTTTGTATAATAGTTTTGGAGCTGATGAGTTGCTATGGGAGATCTCATGCTATGTTTCCCTTTTCTAACTTGCTTGCTTTGGGCTTTGGAATGGGTCCAAAGATGCCTCTGGCACTTTTCATGCTGCTTGCACATCACTTCCAAAGC